AGTGGCGAGGCGACCGATGAGCCCACCAATATAGCTATCTGTGTATTAGTCCACAGAAAATGGAATTGGTGAAGCATTTGACTCACGGTTTCAAACAATCTGGAACAAGAAATTGTACACGAGTGGTCACTATCATCCCAAGGATGTGGTCCTTGGCAGCTTTGAGATATTCCTCATTCTGAGAAAGCCGCGAACCAACGAGAGCAAAACTGCCACTGCGGGCTACGATCGAGTATGCCAGATCAAAACAGCCGATGTTGCATTCTGGTTAAATACATTAGAGACCATCTCACCTATAAACTCAGCCAAAACTCACCCCCATCTTTGAAGTCTAGGGTCTGCAGCTGCGAGATGATTGCCTGGTCCATAGCGGGCATATAACGATGCAAGTGCTTATAAACCGTGGCACGAATCAAACCAGGCGTAGTTTTAGCGATTTTCGGCCATCCCCTTCCCTTGGGGAAATAGCCAGGCATAACATGAGAGACTTGGAGGAGCTGTATAATGCTTGTTAGCACAGACATCGAAAATCTATCCGACAGCCCTACCTGATCAATCCACGGCTCGGGGGATACAAGAGTACTCCGTTTATTTCTTAGCTCTTCAATCAACTCCGACTGGCATAATATGACCTGACCAAAGCGGAATGTCCGTGGAATCTCGAACAAGCCATTTGCGAATTGTTCATAGCCTTTCTTTATCAAACTGGGCCCGTCCACCACAAACTTGTACTGCTGGTATAAGATCGAGAAATAATCTTTGCGTATAGGAAAAGCAATTTGCTTCTGCCGGGTCAGCAAATAGTATCAGCGTTCTTGTGAATTTGTACATCGATCAACTATCACCAGACGGGGGAAGGTCACCAACGTTAGCCATGCGATAGGAAGTAAACACCAAAGCGGCCGCAACCACAGAGCAAAAGAGAAAGGAAACAAGTAAGCACAGCACAATAGCCGAACTACGAGGTTCCATCTCGGTCCGACTGAGGACATAGAGGGAAGCCATTTTATTCTAAAGAAGCAATGGGAAAGAGAAGAAAATGGACAAGTAGGGCCTGGATGAACGATTTTATATAGGCTTCGTCCAGAAAAAAGGATGAGATGAAAGAAAAGCAATGATATCACCGTGCTAGGTTGGAATTGTTTCTACGGAGCGAATCTGTGCTTGCAAAAGCAAGCGACAAAAATAACTCGGTGTGATATACGCACATAATGTACCGGACTTTATAATTGCATGAGGCTAACCTCTGGCGTATTTCTTTTTCTTTCTTTTTTTTCAGACAAGGGTTTTGGGGCCAAATATAGCATCATATTGGAAAGTAATATAGCACTGTATTGTGGAAATGAATCAAAGGCATCGTACAAGGGACCCATAAAAAAAAAATATAGACGGGCATGGAAAGAAGATGAACAAACTCCCTGGCAAGTATCAGCGATCGGGTGTGTGGTATAATGATACAAGCAGACAACGCAAGCCACGCCCGCAATAAAAACAGAAGAAAAACCGGCAATGGCGCCAAGGAAATATTAGGCAGGCCAATCTATGCGATGCCCTGGGATTCCATCCCCACTGTGGAGTATGAATAAGGCAAGTCTACCAGGCCGTCAAGCAGCCAGTTCAACGGATCGAAGACTTCGTAATTAGGTTCAATGAAGCCACTTGGAAGTCCATTAGGTTGGGTTGCGGATGGTTGGATCCCAAGACTAGCCTGGGATAGTAGAGGTGCCGGGGCAAGGCTTGGATCACTCCCAGACATTCCTGGTGTTAATGTAGATGTGTGTACAGGCCCGACAGATGAAGTGGCCGAAGAATCGGCTGCAGAGTCGGGATTTGTTGGATTTTTTAGATAGGCTAATATCAAAGGTTAGAGACTTTTTATTTATACTTGAGAGTGAAAAGGGATACTGACCTTCAATGTTTCGACCCTTAGTTCTGGCATCCTCCCGCCAGCGCCATACAGAGTCGAAAAGCAGGGACATGCTCATCCGGCAGCGTACTTTGAGTCGCAGGGAGTCGTCAACATCGGTACTATTGTTAGCCCGTTGAGTCGCTCCTCCCAATCTCCACATCTGAGCCAACACTTCTGCAAGCCGCTCGGGTAGGTCGTTGCTGGACGCTGACACCCCCGGATGGCCCAGATTGTGCGGTTGAATAGGTTCTTGGTGTATTCCATGTCTATGTGGGAGGCAAAGAAGCTCTTGCACAGCTTCAGGAGAGTGCAGCCGGCGGCAACCATCATCTGATACACATAGTATGGGGTGTAAGAGAGAACCGGGCCAACCTCAGTCTCGAGGTTTAGGACAACTTCGAGGAATGTTGTTGTCGCGACATACAGAGATAAGACGCGTTCGCGGTAATTTTTAGTGGTTGGCTCATCAAAGAATGCCGAAAGGTGCAAATGAAGGTTAGCAGCACGGAGGAACAAGTCAGTAATACCTGGTTGTCATTAGTTATGCAATTCAATATACCCCCACTTGAACTTCGGAGGCTTACAGTCATTCTGTGATTTAAGCTGTTCTTCCAACTCCTCAAAGTCTCGTGACAGAAAGGCAATCATTGTCGAGCGTTCATGGTCGCTGGTTAAGCCAACAGGATCGCGTCGATTTGTGTAAAGCGCTCGGGTAACCCTGTCGCAAAACTTTTCAATCTCCAATCTTGGCCTTATATCTTCTGGAAGCTTGAAGTTCGGATCTAGCGAATCGCTAGAGGACAATGTCCAGTCGTAAAGAGTAGATGATGGCTGTCCATAGCCGGTGGAAACTCTGCAAAGTAAAACATGAGACAAATGCGGGCAGCAATTGATAATTGGGGGATTGTACATACCTCTGGGCAACAATATTGCAAATCGCCCAAGTTCGCACCTTGTCTCTCAATTCATCCTCGATCAGTTCCACTCGGAATTTACTAAAGTCCTGAGTGTGGGAAGGCCGATGAAGACCAAGCTGCATAGCAACCTGTACCATCATTCCACATAGCATGAAGGTCGGATCTGTTGAGGTGCTGCTCGTGGGGAATGGCCATGAACATAGTAGAGCGAGAGCCTTCACGACATGGTAGCTTTGAGGGATATCTGCTAGAGTGCTCCAGACCAGCCGGGTGACGGGACCAGCGAGAGAATTCAACAAATTCGAATCGCCTTGATAGCGTCGTGCACCGACACTGAGTATTGTCCAGAAAAGCAATGAAGAGGAGGAATTATAATCATCGGGAGACTGGTTTCGGTCCAAAAATGGAAGGAAGGGGTGGTAGTATGTGAAGAATCTGACGGGAACAAGTTAGATCAATCACAGAGACTTGATAAACGAGGACTCACATATTAAACAGTTCTGTCACTTTCTCGGGAGCAACCATAACATCCTCAATTCGTCTGATTTGCCCACCGTTCCTCATGAAGTTGGTACCATCGAAGCCCGAACGAAGGTCCAGGAGGGATGCAACAGCTTCTTGAGATCCCATGTACTGGTCTGCGGACATGGCCGATGGGGTTTGATATACTGCAGGACTGACTTGACTCGATTCTTGCTTGGGTGTCAACTGCCCTGCGGTCAACGCCTGTTGCTGTGACATTCCAGGAACTGGTTGGCCAGTAGCAATCTGCTTTCTGAGCTCCATTATCTCCCTTTCCATTTCCGCATTGCGGCTGCGCTTCCCAACACGTTTGAAGTTGGACTCAATTTTACAATCGAGTCTCAGCCGACGACATCGCGAACAATCGGTCCATGGGTCTTGAATGACATCGCATCGGAGCTATCGCAAGCCGAAAAAAAAATTAGTCAAACTGGAGAATACCGAATTTGCGGTAATATGCTAGACCTACTTTCTGCTGTCGACATTCATTGCAAGCGCGCTTCACTGGCTGACGTCTTTTCTCCTCGCGCGCATCGTTATCATCCATATCCTCGATACTTCCCGGGGAACTGTCGATCCCCGCAATGGCCAAATTGCGTTTGCGACCATGCACGCCATCAGCGGCAACTGAGACAGGTAACTGGTTTACACCCGCCATTACGGGACTGGTGCCAATAGAAGCATTATCAATGGTCGCAGTCGGTTCAAGAGTTTGGGCCTGACCCTCTCCGATGCCGTTCGATCGCCCGAGAGAAGCCAGGCTGAATGACGTTTTTGCGGATCGTGATCCCAGTTTCAGACAGTTGAGAGAGATTGGGACGGATTCACAGACACACAATTTGGGTCTTGATCCAGGCAGTTTGGTTTGGTTATTTCCTTTTCCTTCTTGTCTTTCTCCAACAAAACCGTCTCAACTTTCTCGTTCTCACTCGGTGAGCGCGCTTCTTGCGGGAGTCTCGATGAGTCAGCGCAGAGGGGCATATCACCTGACCGGATATTCTTTTTATTCCACACGTGACCTCATACCGGCTTTGTAACACGTGACCGGGGATGAGCTATACATTTTTATCACTTTTCACAGTATGTAAGGAGTATGGAGAACAAGCATATGAAAAAGGCGCTAGAAAGACACTAGAAAGCTTTGTACACAACATAAAGTATACCCTGCATCCATGCATCTCCAGACAGCCTTGGGGGCAGTACTGAAACCACTAAGGCAGCAAGGCAGTGCAGGCGCGCCCGATTTCGTATTTTCTGTACCCAATCCAAAACGAGGTTCAAGAAAACGTTTTCATATTATTGGCTCGGGAGCCAAATGAATACGAAGATCCCATTCATTCACTTACATATTTGAATATATTTTGCGGAGATTTAGGCAAATGTAGTTTAGATTTCAACTCTCTAGGGCAAGTAGTGGCAATCATCATTATTGCACCTTGCCCATTTCGTCCATCTCGCGGGGGCTATGAAAGGGCAGTGAAAGGACAGGAACCCTGTCAAAGTAACATGCTGACTTGTCTTTATCTGGATATGGTTAGATAAGAATGGGATGGTGTTCCAACATTCAACTGGTATAAAGAGCCACCGGACCACACCCCTTAGACTTGACTCACCAACACTTACATCTTCTTATTCCTCTGTCAAACGCCAACATGGGTATGTCAACGGATGAAAAGTCCAAAGACACACCCGATCAATCCGAAGCTATCGGCAGGTCTTCGAATGAACGACCACCTTCTTATTCAGCCAATGAGGTCGAGCAGCCCCTACTAGAACTGCCACAGCTGGATCTAAGTTCCAATCTACCTGATTCAACTACCACCACTCGCGACCAGTGTGTTGCACATCTCAAGCTTCTGGCTGTGCTCGCAGATCTGCGAGATACTATCTCCAGTGATGATGGACTCTTTGATATCCACGACGCCGAGGCTCAAAGATTCCCGAATCATTTGAATGCAGCACGGGCTCGTATTTCCGAAAAGCGCTGGGCGGTATATACAGCGCGTGCAGTTGACCGATATACCAAGTGGTGGTCTAAGGGGCTCCCCGGATCAAGGCCAATGGCAACTATTAGTGACTTGGAGTCTACCGACTATGAAAACATCATTAATTGTGGTACTATTGTTGCATGGAGCACGGAAAACCTACCCCCGCTGGGTAAGTGAATTGATGCTGAGACCAAAAAAAAAAAAAAAAAAAAAAAAAAAAACAAAAAAACAAAAAACGCAGTTGACTAATTTCTCTATAGATATTTTAATGGTCTGGCATTCTCATATGTTGAATCCTCGGAACTTCCTCGAGGATTGCATTCGATACGGCAAGATGAGCACCTGGGCAACAGGATTTCCATGGGAAGCGATAGATCGCTGCATCAACAACCAAACGATGGAGTATACAGTTTCCGAACAAGCCCAGAAGCTGTTCGAGGAGAAACTGGACTTCAAGTGGAACAATTTACACGACCCGCCGACCAAGCATGTCAAATGCCCCGGCTGTGGATGGGCGAATGCTGTCCCGTGGACAGAAGCTCACTTTGGGGACAGTGTTGCCCACGCCTACAAACATGGCAGTGGCTATGCCGATTCTTTATTTGAGGCGAAATGCTTCGGCTGTGAACGCATAATTGACCATGGCCGGCTCAAGGTGGCAAAGTTTCGAAAAGACCTTGAAGGAGCTCTTTACAAAGACCTCCCTATGCCCGGGTCATTCACCAATCTTTATGGAATGCCCGAGGGGGGCTCAACTGACAAGGCCAATCCTCGGGCCCTCCGGGATATGATATTCCCCACACGAGTCGTCCAGGCTGGCAGCAAGGAGTTGTTGCGCATCACCGATAGTCGATTGGATCTGTGTCAGAATGTCACCCAGCTGAAGAAGCAACTCGAGACCCAACTACGCGACGCAAATCTTTTGTGGAAAGCACATGGTGTCTACCTTAAAACCCTCCAGTATGGCGAGAAGATCCAATTCCGAAGAATGATGTCTCGATACTGGGAGAACCTCGGTCCCTTCGCGCTAGATCTTGTGGGCGCCGTTATCAGACAAGGCACCTTCGTGGAAAAAATGGACAAAATCGATTGGCTGCACTCACCGACAGTCTTCAACACCATGGACCGACTGATTAAAAAGTACCATGTGTTCTTCCGGATTATGATTGAAAGGCCAGATAAGATGGCCGTGCCCACTTTGGACGTCGACCTAGCCTGGCACACACACCAACTCAGCCCATCACGATACTACAAATACAGCACGTCGAAGCCAACATTTCATTGTAAGCGTATGTTCATCGACCACGACGACAAAGTCGACGAAGGGAAACTCTCCGACGGCTTCGCCTGGACCAGCAAAACGTACCGCCGTATGACCGACGGCGGCATATACAGCGAATGCACCTGCTGGTACTGCGAGGCAACACGAACATCAGACCTGTACGGTCGGTTGTTCACTCCTGGCTCTGCCTATCGCGCCCGAGTCGCTGCAGACCTCTTGCACGATCGCACTGATATCTCGTCCGATCCAAACAAGAACCCACATATCTCTTCACACAACGCCGTCCGGCCAACGAACACGCACCACCAGGCTGAGTGGCGTAACTCTTTACTACGTGTACGTCTACAAAGCGATCACCAAAAGGCCATGCGGCGTGCTGAGAAGCGCCGTCAACGATCCGGTTCCAAATCTTCTAATAACCAGGGCGACGTCTCTGGTGCATACTACATGCCTTATGCATATGGTTATCCCATTATAATACCATACTATGCACCATATATGATGGACCCGTCTATCAACTGTGATTCGTACGCGAACAACCCTGCCTGCATGAATTACACTCAAGGCGCCGCTGGGAACTGTTGTGCCGGCACATGTGGTAAGTTCTTCCTCCACCCCTCTAGAAGAACAGAGTGGAACTGATTTGTCAAAAGGAGGTTCTGTAGCCGCAGGTGGCTGCGCAGCAGAGAGTGGCAGTGGAGGATGTGGTAAGTCTCCTGATGAACATCGACTGCAACGGATGCTAATGTGTTTTCTGTACAGGCGGATCAGGTGGCGGCTGCGGAGGATCAGCTGGTGGTGGTAAGTCTTCTTTATTACAATCGATAGACGAAATTATATACTGACTTGGTTATTTAGGTTGCGGCGGTAGCGGCGGTGGCGGAGGTGGTTGCGGAGGTGGAGGAGGAGGCTGCGGTGGAGGTGGTAGCTGATTCAAAGAACGATTGCGAATACCCCTTTCTCTTTTTTTGCCTTTGCTCTTTATACTTGTTGTTCTTGAGTTCTTTGACTGTTCAATGAATTGGCTCATTAAGTTATGCTTATTGCTCAACATCATCAGCAGCCCGTCGTATATATGACCTGCTTTGTTTAGGTTTCACACCCAACACTCTCGTAACTGCCTCCTGTTGTACTCTCTCGGTTACAATCCCCGAGCATATGATCTCTTCTCCTATGTTTCGAGTTCGAGCTCTCTATCACGGCCTGCAACGGTGATTTATACAACTGGACCCGAGCTGACTAGGAGATGCGCACCTTCTGATGAGGCAATGCAAACATGTGCAATTGCCTATCCTGGGCAAGAGAGATCTATCTTGACCTCGGATCGGTGGATGCCACATGGATGCCAAGCTTCCAAGACATAAACCTACATAACTAGCATAAGGTACTGCCCGGTGGATCAGGATTGAACCATTTGCAACGAGAAATAAATGTATACCTCTTTCTGTAATCTGTAACGGCTGGTCTGAAAGAGGCAGCGGCAGAATCCACCCAAAGGAGATCAGCCCCAACACCTTTTGATCATAACCTCTTTTATTTGTTTATCCCATGTGTTCACCTATGACGAAACATCCGAAAAAAAGATGGACCTTTACCCCGTAGTGGGTCTTTACTTCCCCGCTTTATGATGAACAGGTGGACAGATATGGAAATGGCCTGTAGATCTACATTCTAAAGCAATATAGTACGTTCATGAGATATATTCATTGTATGCCCCGTCCGAGGGTTGAGTACACGAGAGTGAGAGACCATAGGTGAGGAGATATAGAAGAGGGAGGGCAAGGAGATCGGAGAGAAAAGAATGGACGAGATACACATGTGGGAAAAGTAGGGAAGCGGATCGTAGAATTTGTGGGTTTGGTATATATGTGCGAGGTGAGAGGCCAAAACAGAACAAAAAAAGAAAACAAACGAGAAGCATAGAGGACATGAAGGGGGTCATGTCCCTATGGATATAAGTATTCGATGGGGATGATAAATATGCGCCGGCTATACGGAGTATAGCCATTTATAGGGGTTTCCAGAATAGGGCAAAACGAAACACAAAGAAAAAGAAAAACACAAAGCGGGCCAAGGAGACATGATTGATACATGGGGATCTCAAAAGGTAGTAAAAAAAGGTCCCGAGAAGTGTGAAATACTCCGTTGAGAAAAGAGCTCTGAACGATTATTGAACATTGGCTCTATTCTCCATCTGGAGTGGCTGTAAACATGTAAACAAGAAGGTTCAAAAAATTCGCTCAAGCTCGTACATGAGATCGTGAAGGGGTCGTGGTTCAGCAATGCGCCGATTTGACCCAAGGACTGGCTCGGAGGCGCGCAGGCGCGGAGAGGGTGGAAGATCTACTCTTCCATGTGGCCAAAGACGCCGCCATCGTCGTCGTCGGCCGGTGCAGAGCGGTTACCAAAGTCGACATCGGCGTTGCGACGTTGACGGGATTTCTGAGCATCGTCACCACCAGTACGGACTCCACGCTCATCCGACACCTTGTACGACAGCGACGGGTTGAGCGAGCGGGACAAGAAGATGTTGGCCTCGGAGTCTCGGCGAGCGGCCTCATCTGTGGGGCGCGATTGAGGGGAGTAGATACCCTGGTTGCTCGGGTGGCTGCTTGAGTCCAAGTAGCGCGCCGGCAGTGGAGGCACTGGTGGGACGTCGGGGGTCATGGAAACAGGCCCCGTGCGAGGAGTCCCGAAATTGCACAGGCCAATGGCCGCGGCAAGATCCGCCTCATCATCCTCGTGTAACCGTGTGTTCGCAGTCGAAGGACGGGTGTCGATGCTCGAGTGACGGAAGTGGGAGAAGCTTGGCGAGTGCAGCGGAGCACTCTCGTTGTACGAACTGGAGGGAATGGACTGGTAAGAACGAGAGAAACCGGAGGCGTTGCTGACGCTGGGGCGTTTGGCCCATTGCGCCGGCACACCCGACATCTCGAAATCATCGTCCTCCTCCGAGTCCATTGGGGGTGGCGTGGTCTCAACGGAACTGATGCCATCCCGCATTTCTGACAGGGCGTCCGGCGATCCAGACGACAACTCTGACTCCAACTCGGCAGACTCATCGGGTGGATCGTCGTGGTTCATGGTGACCAAAACGGAGGCGGCCTCCAGTAGTTGAACCTGTTGATGCTTGGAGATGAGAAGTTTCGAAGTAACGGACCATGCTGGGTCGTGTTCCCACCTAAGATACCACGGAAAAAAACACGTCAATCAAATGCTGCCGAAAGGGATGGAAGAAAGGGGGACAGTGACGAAGGGGGAGTTTAATAACCACGAGGGCGACCTGCACAGAGCCGACATGGCGCATATTCCCGATCGAGCTAGAAGAAGACGGCCGAGCGGTAGGGGGGATACACACATATGCTTAGACAAGCAGCTGCCATGCTTATACCCTTTCCCGCAGCGATCGCAACGTATGGCCGTCGAAGCACGCTTCCCTTCGGTTTTGAGTTGGGCACCCTCGCTGGCTCGGCGGTTTCGGTTCTTGGGCTTGCCATCGGAGTGGTCCGATCCCGGAGAACCTTTGCGGGCGACCGGTGATTCCTGGCTGGGACTGTTGATGCTGCGGGAGAGGTAGGAGCTGAATCCAGATACGTTTCCGATGGAGCCGGACTCTATTCCCTTGCGACCTGCGAGGCTGCGGCGGTGCGCGCCCATGGGAAGCGAGGTAGCCTCCCCACCCTCCATGGAGGCGGCGACTGCGGCGGCAGCATTGGCAGCGGCGGTAGTGACACTCTTCCGGCGTGTTACACGGTGATTTGGATTGAGAGCACCTAGCGAGATCGAGTGCGCGTGATGGCGCGGGCTAGGATTGGGGAGAGGACGCGACATGGATAATTCCTGTGACTGGCCAAAGGGCCGATAAATTAGCATGGTTCCATAAAAAAAAAAATCTAAGCCAAGGTGTCAGGCGGAGATGCTGGACACTTACCTTGAATGAGGCCATGGTAAGAATTGAGAGGAAGCTTCCAATGGAATTGACAACCCTCTAGGACACGAGTTGCCCTCAATTTAGTGAAGGCGAAATAAGGCGGAGTTCCGAGACCGAGATGTATAGGTAGAGGAGAGCAATGAATGCGAGAAGAGGAAATGAAGAGAGAGAGAATGAGAAAGAATAAAGAAAAAAGTTGAGTGAATCCAAAAAAAGAAAGGTGGAAGGGGAAAAAAAAGAGGAGAAAGAAGGAGAGAAAGAGTCAGGGCCGGTATGAGCCAAAATCGCTCAGGTTTGCGGGGGCCTTTCCCTTTGAGCATGCGGGGGGAGCGATCACCGGTCACACATACGAGATTGGTATTTTATTGCTAATATATTTGAAGATATCTATGCCTTTAGACTATATTATTGTCTATACTTCATACCTAGCTAATGTTATGTTCCCTAAGCATGCCCTGTATTGTGTGTTATATCTGTGTGTGTGTGTGTCGCAATGCCTCTGATGCGATAGCAGAGTGGATCCACTTATCCGAATAAAGACATGTTAATAGTAACATGTAACAAGTAACAATCAAACCCTCTTATGAATTTCTGATGGCGAATGTTAGGCATAATCTCTTCTTAAATATCATATTTGGTAATGTGTCTTCATACCAGGTAGCCCTCGGATGGCGTTCCGTACAGGGGAAGGGTCTGCGCCCTGGTTCTGAAGGATAGTCCCATGGGTCCAGGCTCAGGCTATAAAATAATAACCCAATTCCTTTGACAGAGAACTTCCATCGTTATATCAAAATTGTATATAACAATGTAGATAACCCTTGGAATATAAGTAAACACTTTTGCTTTATAAAAAATAAAAAAAACCCTCCAGTTGCCTGACGATCAGCTAGGGTCACAAGATGGGATAGCTGGACTCCAGGTTCAAGTACCAATCAGGTCACTTGGTTCCCACCCGGGCAATGACGAATGTCTGTTGATAGGAGATGGCCGCAAGTACTTGAACTAGTGACTTGGAAAGTACTGGTTTGCCATGTATCGACCAGATCACCTGCATAGCATCGACCGGTCTAGTGCTTGGAAGAGGGTGGATGTGGTGGGTCTGATGATGTCATTGGGCTTAGTCAAAGATATCACCTGATAGACTCCAGCTGATACGATATAAATTTATATAAATAACATAACTACCTGGGTACCTTATAGTTAATTACCTTCACATACGTATGCAGTATACGAATAATCTTTTTTACTGTGGCAAAGACCTGAGGAATTGTGGCTTATCACCTAATCCAGGGTAAGTCCAAGGCAGCACTGAAGGGCCCCCGGGCCCCCCGGGGGCCAAGTGTCAGTTAGGTAATCGCTCAGGTCACCATAATCCTACGATCAGGTCGCGCCATCTTGCACGCTAACACCTGCGGGAGGGGATCATTACTCCGAGCGTCACACTACCCTTTTGCGCACGAGCATTTGGGACTTGGGGCGGAATTATTTTTGGCGCCCTTCATAGTAGGAGGCAACCCCTGATATTTCTTGTTTCTGGCACATTCCTAAGGTTCCTGTCCCGCGATTATTAACCTGCGGCTGAGACACTCGGGACATTCTTCTTGTCAGTATTATTATTGGGTTAGAAGGTTGGATTGATGTCGATATAATTATTAGAGCTACCGAGAGCTATCATAGCTCTTTGAAATTATTTCTCAATGGTTTTATATAACATAAAGATAACATTTCAATGACCCCATTATTGTTCTCCCGAGGTCCAGGTTTGCGCTGCCATGACGTGGTCGGACCTCCCAAGGCTGAAAGGCGGAGGGAATCTCACCTAATCTATCAATCAAACAATGCAAACATATTTTTGGAAAAAAAAACACTGAAGAAACCCTTATCAAAATACCCGATAAGAGATGAAGATTGGGCATCGCAACGGACTCACATAATAGGCCAATTGACTTTTCAATTATACAACCTTACCTTTGAGATCTACTGCTTTGTGCATACCAGATC